GGCCCCAGCAGCAGGAGCCCCGTGCCCGCTCCTGCGCAGCCGGCGCACCCGGGCCGCCTGGCTTGGTTTGCGTCCCCGGCTTCCCTGGGGAAAGACGCCCTCGGAAGAGAACGTGCGCTGACGCGGAGGCGGCGAAACCCAGAAGGGCGGCAGCACGGAGGCATCAGAACCGGCGAGTTAAAAAGCGGCCTCGCGCGGCGGACAAGGCATCTCAGCAGGCGCCGTGCACGGCACGGAGCGCACGTGGAAGGTGACCGAAGTCTGAACGTGTCCGAGCGACCCAGACACACACGCGTATACACAAATTCCGGGCTTGGGGGCACGCCCTCGTTGACCACGTCGGTGACTACATGGCTAAGAGAGTCACCAAGTCCTTTCCTGACGGTGACACAGAGACTTCCTCATAAATGCCGCAAACCGCCTTTAAACAGCTCTGGAATACTGGGAAAATCTGTTCACGTGTCATTTTGTCAGATTTCTGCTCAAAATGTTTAAAGCTTTTACTTCCTAACTTTAAAGCTTTAGGACAGCATAGAAATCTGTAAAAGTTGTCTTAAAAAGCACTTATGCTTATCTAAGAATTTAATCTAAAATCATAACCACGGCAACTGTCTCTGCTGAAAAGTTACAACACACGTAGTTACATTAATTTGTATTACACAGATTTCCAAAGAAGCTAATTTGAAATATTAAATGTGCATATATGTAGTCCCTAGTTCTCTTCAGGGTTCAGCTGATAATTTGGAGTAGGTTTCTTTCAGGAATCTGGCTTTGTGGCCAAGTGGGTTTAGTGATGGTATGACATCCCTGCCCTTACTGGACTGGTGGCTGAACAAGAACTTACTGTAGGATGCTCATTTCCAAATCTCCTCATAATAGGGAATAAAGCATTTCATCACGAAACAAAATGAGATGATTTCACTGGGAAGAGTACAGGAGGACAAGAGAGAGTCAATATTCATGATTGGAATATACAAATTCTGTGCTTTAACTGAATTCTCTGTAGTTGTATTCAGTAGGCCAGTAAGAACATTCCATATGGCATCCCAAAGGCAAACGTTACCAGTATGCCTAACATTTGACGCAAGCCATTTCCAAATACATTTTCAGTGTATATCAAACTTGAGAAGAATCATTTCCTTAGGCACTCTGAAAATTATGTGGCAGTTTGAGTTTAAATGACTTGTATTCACGCCTAGTACCAGAATGAACAGACAACTAGATGCACAAGTAATGAATTTTTTAAATATCATGGCTCTTATGAATTATTACTTTATTTCTGCTACAAAATTTACCAGAAAATTTACTGCAACAATCTAGTATAAAGCAAATCTTTAACCAAAGAACATGGTATAGACCTTCTAAAAACATTCATACTTTATAACATTAACTGCAAGAAAAAATTCAATTTCTGTCATCAGAACCAAGCTGCAGCTTCTGAGGTAGTAGAGACAGATGACAGAAAAGTCAAATTTAAAAAGAAAAGCAAAACCCTAAGGAGACAGTCAATTTGTTTAAAATGCAAACATCAACTTAAAATCTCTGGAGGGCACAGGAAGCAACATTTTAAGAAAGGAAGGTACTCTATTTAAAAGGTAACTGGTCACTACACAGGAGGTGTCAAGGGTACAGAAGAGCACTTTGGTTACTATTCCTTCTGTGGCTCTACCCACTCATAACTGAGTCTCTATGCAAAAACAAGCACACCAATAATTAAGATTACCAAATATATTTCAAATCTAAAATAAAATTATCCAAGGTGTGGTCCCTTTATTCAAAGAGCAAGTATACCATGCAGGAAGTCCAGACATCTTAAATGGAATTAAACTTGAATTGCATATATCATATTCCTTCAATAGTTTGAGAAGGTCTATTGCTTTTAACAAGATTAGTATTATTTCATTTTAATACAAATATGTCAGGAGTACATAAACACAAGTACACCTGAAATACACCAGTGTTTAAACTTTTATTTCACACCATGCAAGGTCAATTATAACACATTAAAAAGTGACAACAGCTATAAGCTGCAATTTTACATTTATACATTGGAAACGTCCATTTTCAAAAGCTGAACATAATTACCATATTGTCTTTAATGGCTAAGCTTCAATTCAACTGCTTATATAGATAAAATTTACTATGAAAAAAACAATGATTTTATATCTGTCCACATTCTGTGATACTTATTCTTCGACTAACAGATCCTTTAGGAGAACCAAATGATTCAATCTTTTTCACAGTATCCATGCCATCCTTAACAAACCCAAATACTACATGCTTAAAGTCCAAATGTTCTGCTTTTTTCAGTGTTATAAAGAATTGAGAATTATTGGTATCCCGGCCTCGATTGGCCATGGAGAGTAAGCCAGGACCAGTATGTTTCACGTTAAAATTTTCATCTTCAAATTTGTCTCCATAAATGGACTGTCCTCCTGTCCCATCATGTTTGGTGATATCTCCCCCCTGAAAAAAGATTTCAGTTAATAGAAATCCCGAGTTAAAGATTATAATATACACAGAACTCATCGCTACAGGATAAATCCTAAAACCCAGCTTCCTTAAGAATGCAGTTTGAAAACTAAGAAATAATTATTTCTAGAAAAAAGATTAAAGGACCACTTGAGACCAGCCTGAGCAACATAGCAAGACCTGGCCTCTACAAAAAAATTTTAAAAATTAGTCAGGCATGGTGGCATGCGCCTGTGGTCCCAGCTACTTGGCAGGCTGAGGTGGGAGGATCGCTTAATCCCAGAGTTCAAGGCTGCAGCAAATTATGACTGTGCCACTGTACTTCAGTCTCAGTGACACCTCTCAAAAGAAAAAAAGAGAACTACAGGATTAGGTCAAGGAAAAACAGATTTCCCAAGTTTAGTGTGGTGTACTCTTCTATACTCCCATTAATACTTACTTGGCAAACAAAATCTGGAATTACTCTGTGAAAAATTGAGTTCTTGAAACCAAAGCCCTTCTCCCCAGTACAAAGTGCTCTGAAATTCTCAGCAGTTTGAGGAACAATGTTTGAAAATAATTCCATAGTTATCCGTCCTAGAGGTTCACCGTCTGCACAAACATCAAAAAATACCAGAGGGTTGGTATCCTTTGATAATTCTGCTGCCAGTGATACATGTCCTTTCTGGAGTTTCAATAAATTCTGCTGACATTCTTCAAATTTTTTCTTAAAACAATCAGCCACTTCTTTAGTTTTAAATCTCACTGCGAGCTGTTCCACTTTTGCTTCTCCATCTATTGAGGGGGAGAAGAAGTGAGTTTAGTATTAAAATAACTTATAAATTGTTTTATGTGTTTGTTATGGATTTTAGAATAGCCCAAAAAATGAAAAGTAGCATTTGAATATAGAAACTCACCAGCATAATCTGAGGCAGTCCAAACTAAAGCGTTATTCGACACATTCAGAGGTTTTAATTCCATTGTTTTGGTAATAACATGGTTTGCACACACTTTCAAGACCTGGTCTCTTCTCATTAGGATTCGATAGTAACTCTTCATTGTATGCCAAAGAATCTTTATATCTCCAACACCACGCTCCTTCCACTGACTGACATCCCGATCCCATCTATAAAGTTTGGCTCTCTCTTTAAACAAAATTTCTTCATCTTCTTCTCCAGATTTTACTTCTACCTATAATAGTACATGAAATGATGTATAAGCTGATCCTTATAACGAATTCCATGACAAATTCCTAAGATCTAAATTCTTTGAGGTGTTTTCTTTGTGGTGGCACTAACAGATTTTGTAGTATCAAGATAACTGGCTATACACAAAAGGGCTAGGAATAAATCTAATTTGGTTAGGCAATAAAGACCTGATTCGTCATTAAATATTTTTCTTTTACACATCTTTTGTAAACTAAATTCCTTCTTTTATAAGGACAGAAGATGTGTTCAAAAGTGTTTACTACTGAAGAGAAATGTTACCTACTGATTAAGGTTGGAAAATGACAAAATAATTTTCCTAGAACAATATCTTCTTGTCCAAAAAAAGGTAAAGGTTACTGTTCATTGAAAGGACTCTAGCAAGTATAAGATCAGATATTTTTGTTCCCAGAATTATGTCATTAACAACAAACATGATATTTTAACAAGATATGAAAAAATTATGTCTTCCCTACAATGGCATAGAGAATTTACAAAGTGACATTTATATAAAAGTGTATTTAAAGAGACAATTTGTACTTAAAGGCTGCATGTCTAATAAACAGAGACTCCATTTCAAACTGTAAATGCTCTAAAAGAAATGCAAACAATATCCCGCTATCACAAGCCAGGAAGAAACTTAAACTTAGAATAAAAGGTAAGTTGCTAGTAAAACTCGCACTGCTTCACATTTACCTCTGGTAATGACACTATTGGTTCGAAATGGATGTCTTCATCATGAACTACTTCTTCATCACTAGCATCTTCATCCTCGCCAACTTTACTGGTCGGCGGTGTTCCGAACACAGTTGCTCCAGTATTTGCCCACTGGAAATTTGTGTCTGATGAATAAATTAGGATATTTCAGCAACCATGTCTTTTTCGTGCATTTTGCATCCCCTTCTTAGATTACTTGATCAGTGCATCTAAATTCCCAACAATGTAATATATACAATTTGAAATGTTTAAAATTATATTATTCCAGCAAGTTTAACTCATACAGTAAGCACAGAATTCATTCAGTACTGTCTGTGCTTAGAGATACAAAGATATGATCGGCTCTGTCTTGGCTAAAGTTCCTAATATAAACTATACAAGAACTTCCAATAATTAAGTAGGTTCTTAAAAGTACAGACCTTGAATCTTTGGAAACTAAACCTGGCTATCACCTGTAGTTTATTACTAAAACCTTTCACTACATGAGAAAGATAATTTTTGCCAGGCTGTTGATAGTAACAATGGGAGACACTTGCTGACTCCAACTACCCTAAGGGATACTAGACCATTAAGGCGTTTGACTTTTATGTAGGTGAACAATGATGGTCTCTCTCCCCCAAATATCTCAATTAAGATAACCCAGCCTAAAACATTCCCCATTCTCTTAGGAAAAGTCTTAAGAAGGAAAAAAGTCAGAGCACATAAAAAGTAACTCAGCACCTTGAGGAAAACAAAACGAACAAAAAAAAAATCAACTCCCTACAAGGCAGATTTAATGGAGAAAAAACATTGTTTAAGAAAAGAAGGTAGCCAGGCTCGGTGGCTCAGCCTGTCATCCCGCGCCTTTGGGAGGCTGAGGTGAGTAGATTGCCTGAGCCCGTGGGTTCGAGACCCACCTGGGCAGCAAGACCTCATCTCTACAATAAATAAAAAAATCAGCCGGGCGTGGTAGCACATGCCTGTAATTCTGGCTACTCGGAAGGCTGAGGCGGAAGGATCGCCGGAGCCCAGCAGGTGGAGGCTGCGGTGGCCGGGAGTGGCCACTGCACTCCAGTCTGGGCGACAGAGTGGGACTCCAACTCAAAAAAAAAAAAAAAAAAAAAAGAAAAGAAAAGAAGGTAAAAGTTCTTAAAGATATACAAGAAAATAATTGCATAGGAAAGATCTGAGAACAGAGAAAGCAAAACCTCAGGTTGTATAGGGACTTCCCAAGAATAATAAGCAGTGATCTGGTTGAGATTCAAATGTAGCACTCCAAAATAACTGTTCAGCAACCCAAACAAAGATTTAACTGAAAAATAACTCCAGGGGACAAGTAGCAGAAGAATTCAAAATTCTTTCAAAGCAGTGGTTCTCCACCCTGGGTGTACATTAGAATCACCCATTTGCAAAAAAAGCCATTTGTAAAATATCAATGTCTGGGTCTCTGGACCAGAGATGCCAATAAAGCTATCGGCCAGTTCTTTTTAAAAAGCTCCCAGGTGAGTTGAATACAAAGCCAAGCTGAAAACCACTTCCCTAATGGGACTAGAAGATAGAACTTTATAAAAACATAAAAGATATGCAGTGAATAATCAGTATGAATTTCAAAATAACAGTTCTAGGTAAGAGTACCTAGAAGTGTCTGTGTGTATTTCGTGGAAACATTAAAAAGTCTGAAGCAGTTGGGCACAGTGGCTCACACCTGTAATGGCAGCGCTGAGGTGATCCTCTCACTGAAGCTGAGGTGAGAGGACTGCCTGAGCCCAGGAGTTAGAGACCAGCCTGGGCAACATGGTGAGACCTCATCTCTAAAATAAATTAAAAAAGTAGCCAGCTGGGCTCAGTGGCTTAGCCCATAATTCTGCGCTTTGGAAGGCTGGGGTGAGTGGATTGCCTGAGCCCGCGGGTTTGAGACCCGCCTGGGCAATTTGGCGAGACCTCATCTCTACAACAAATCAAAAATTAGACAGGAGTGGTAGCGCACGCCTGTAGTTCCAGCTGCTTGGAAGGCTGAGCAGAAGGATCGCCAGCACCCAGCAGGTCGAGGCTGCAGTGGCCGGGAGCGTGCCACTGCACTCCAGTCAGGGTGACAGAGTAAGACTTCAACTCAAAAAAAGAAAAAAGTAGCCAGGTGTGGTGGCACACACATGCAGTCCCAGCTACTTGGAAGGATTTCAGTCTAGCCTGAGCCCAGGAGGTCGAGGCTGTGGTAGCTGTGATCATGCCACTACACTCCAGTCTGGGAGAGAGTGAGACTATGACTCAAAATAAATAGATAAGTAAATAAATAAAAATAAAAAGCAAATACAATAAAATTTCAATCTGTGTCAAAGCTGGGCAGTAGCTTAACAGATGTATTTTATTATTCTCTTGGTTTTCATATGAAATATTACACAACAGAAAGGAACAATCAATGATCAATAGACCTGTGTGAATAGAACTTTCAAAAAAAAAAGACTATACAAAGGAAAAGAAGAAAACAAATGAAACAGAAATAAATTAATAAAAAGAAAAATGAACAAATGAAGAAAAAGTAACCACCATAGAAATAATAGAAAAGGGCAAAGCTCCCCTGAGCTCAAAACTAGGCAAAAAAAAAAGTTTAGGATCAAAAAGGTCCAAACAATGTCTGGTACAGGTTAAAAAAAAAAAAAGAAAAAGGTATCTACATTCTGGTGAAATTTATGAACCTCTAAAAAACAGTAAGTCCTACAAGCTCTTCATCGGAGGAAAACAAGACTGAAACTCTAAATTATCTGGAAATTTATAAAAGTAGAACCGACTGGGTAACCCTCTCGGGTCCCCTCCCACTGTGGGAGGTTTTCTGTCCTCTCAATAAATCCTGCTTTTAAAAAAAAAAGTATAATCTACTACAGGGGATTTGATCAAATAGTTTCAAATGCTATCTTTAACAAGTGCAATCTCAACTAAGCATTCCAGAGACAAGAAAACTAAAAGTAAAGACAAAATGTGAAGGAATAAAAACTACAAATAAAAGGAGAACTGATAAAACCAAAGCTGCTGTTTTGAAAAGACAGGCATAAATTCCTGTCAAACCTAAGAACAAAATAGTGAAAAATGAGACGTAAAAACAGCCTGATGAATAATCTCATTAAAAATGACAAGTATTTCGCGGCAGTGGCTCACACCTGTAATCCCAGCACTTTGGGAGGCTGGGACAGGAGGACTGCTTGAGTCCAGGAGTTTGAGACCAGCCTATGCAACTAGTGAGAACTTGTCTCCACACACACACAAAAAAATTAAAAATTAGTCAGGCATGGTGGTGCATGCCTACACAGTCCCAGCTACTTGGGAGGCCGAAGCGGAAGGATCACCTGAGCTTAGGAGTTTGAGGCTGTGGTGAGCCATAACTGTGCCACTGCATTCCAGCCTGGGTGACAAGAGTGAGACCTCAACTCTAAAAATAAAAATAAAAAATAAAAACAAGTGTGGTGAGGAGCAAATGTTAGTGAGATAGGCTTTTTAAGGCATGGTTTCCTCCTGCCTTAAAGAACCCAACTTTAGTCCTGCCCACTTCATACAATAGTGTACAACACTGATACACTACCTGTTACACTGAGTAACAAGTAGCCTAACATCACTTTTTATTTGACTTTTTTATGAATAACTGTACCTATTGTATTGCTATATTTACTGACATATGATTACCCTTTGATTTCAGGCTTTTTAATAAATTAAAACAAAAATAAACTTGACATCAGTAAAGTCATGCATTCCAACGTAACATCATATCTGAAGGTAATTTCTGAAAGTTTTATGTGTTTCTACAGGTGACAGGAGCTGTGAAAAAGGTGTAAATATGTAGGAAGAAAGAACATCATTCTGAATTGCATGAATCAGTTAATCAAATATCTTCAATAAGATTTATTCTACAAACCAAACATCTTGTACAAAATAATTTAGATGGTGCTGCAACCACAGATATGAAAGACATAAGAAAATATACGGCCTAATGTTGATAAACTGGAAACAACCAAGGAAATTGATTATTTTCTAAAAATGGTACTGAAATAGATTAAAGATAGAAACACTACTGAAGGAGATGGGAAAGCACATCAATAAAAAGCTTAGATCCCTTAAACTGAGATCCCAAAATGGTGAAAAACAGACAACCATAAAATCGCCTCCTTAAAATATGTAAATACTCACATTTTTAAATATTGACAAATTAAATCTATAGTTAAAAGAACAGTGTTACCAAAGTCGAGGTTATTCCAAAGCTGAAATGGATCTCCATTTCAGGATGAAGTAGACTACCAGCGTGACACTAATTTAAGAGAAAATTTCTATGATTATATTAATAAATGACAAAACTAATAAAATACAGAAGCCATTATTAAACCACTGCACAAACAGGGGTGGAAGTGGGGGAAGAAACTTCCAACTTCATTACAACACTGTAACAAAGGACTCCTTTTTTTCAGTTGTGTTTGATTCTGTAACATGATCATTTAAAATCTTTCCTCCTGATCTTACCTTTAGAACCAAAAGCAAAATCCCCAGAATTACTGGAAGCCAAGTCGGCAAATGACAGCCCTGTGCTACTTCCAAATCCAAATGTGACTGTTTTGCTTTCCACTGGCAAAAAGAAAAGAATAGTTTACTGTTTCATTTAATGTATATCAAAGACCAAAGCTTTACCCAAAACCCCGAGAGAAAAGTGGGGCTTCCTATGCTACAGGATGAGGTTGCAAAATAGATCCAATTCTGAGTTTCTTCAGGTTCTTAGTTTTACAGGCACCACTACAAACAATCCTGCAATCTTACGTACCAAAAGCATGCTGAAGTTACTTTTATAATGAGATGCAGAACCATTTATAGTAAGCCAAATAGAAAATACTGTTTCTGCTGTGTAGAGTCTTCTATATCTAAAGCAAGCATCCAGTAGGAGGTCAGGTCTTACGAAATATCTGCATAAAAACATTTTCTGTTCTGTATTTTAATGTCATAAAAACCAAATGTCTCATTTATACTTGGTCATCAGGACTTCTGGGGTCTTGTATTGCTTCCACCAACGTGCAGCTGAAAGCCCTCTGCCTTACATTCCTCATCTGAAAATGTATGGGGTTTTAGGTGTGAAGTTACCTTCCTCTTCTAGCATATTAAGACTCTCATGTGCCTATAAATGTAATATTTGTGACATTTAAGACTACTTTAAAAAAAATTAGGTAGACAAATGTACACATATAAAGCAATACAATTTAAAGACACACTTCCCCTATAAGAAAGGGACTGGCAGTAGTGGGAAATTGCCAGGGGAGAAGGGGTGGGATTGGCAGTTGAGGGAAACTGCTAGGGGAGGGAAGGGCACACCTCATCAACAAGGATACCTGCATAATCAACGTTTTATACCTAACCCTAAATTGTACCCCACATCTTTAAAAAAAGACACGCTTCCCAACTCCCCACATCCCACTTAAAAACTGAAATGGAAAAACAAGGGAGCAAGCAATACCATATATTAGTGACTGTAACTGAATACTTAATTTAGCAAGCTTTGAGGCTGGTGAAGAAAATGAGACACAGGCTAGGCGGAGTGGCTCACGCCTGCAATACCAGCACTTTGGGAGGCTGGGGTGAGAGGACTGCCTGAGCCCACGGGTTCAATACCAGCCTGGGCAACTTGGTGAGACTTCATCTCTAAGATACATCAAAAAATTAGCCGGGTAAGGTGGCACATGCCTGTACTTCCAGCTACTTGGAAGGCCGAGGCAGAAGGATCGCCTGAACCCAGCAGGTTGAGGCTGCGGTGGCCATGAGCGTGCCTCTGCCCTCCAGCCTGGGTGACAGAGTGAGACTCCAACTCAAAAAAAAAAAAAGAAACTGAGAGACATTTACAAATTTTAAGACTATTATAATATTTCTACAATTACTTCACAGATATCATTAAAACATTTCAAATATGCTTGAGCAATAATTCAAACAATATTAAAATGAAAATGCTATCACAAAGGAAATTACCATGTAAGCAAACTACTGTCTCTGATGCTAAAGCAGACAGATCAAAGTCACAATTCTTTGTATTCCCTAACAACCATATCTCTAATAATAATAAAAACACAGCTTATTATTGTTTAAAGGCAGTATGATTTTTCTCTTATTACAAATATCTTACGCCCCTTTTACACATCCCAAAATTTGTTTTAAATGGAGTTTTTTAGGATCTACCTTTAAACGTCTATCTTCTCAAGTATATCTTCTCACTTATTTAATGCATGATATAAACATATATCAAGTTTTACCTTGGCTTGTAGAATCTGCATCAATTTCCTTTCTAGTAGACAAATCCACAGGTATGTCTGCCACTCCAGAGGAAACAGGTGGTGAACGAACAGATTCGGCAGTAGAATCGGGTTCTTCTGATTTGTTTAAGAAAGGTGATGTCGCTTCAGTCCGGCCTGTATCCATACTGCCAGCGGTGCTAGTTATTTCCTCGCTCTGAGACTTCTACCAAGAGGAAGCAGCAAAATGCTGTGCCATTAAATACCGATTTACAAAAAAAAGATCATATTGTAAAAGAAATCGAAGATGTGGACTTCTGGACAAGATGGAATAAATACACTTCACCCTCTCTCTCCTGAAATCTGCAACTAGATGCCTGAACTGAAACACACGGAGCAACTATAAGAAGCCTTAGAATGGGGGATAAAAGCAGAAGAACAAAGATCTCAGAACCAGAAAAATAATCTGATAGTGAGACCCACATGGGGTTTTTCTGCCTGCCCTATATCCCAGTCTGGGTGCCAGAGCAGACCCCCCAAAAAAATTTAAAACTACAAAATTAAAAACTAAAAAATTAGCCAGGCACGGTGGTGTGTACCTGTAGTACCAGCTACTCAGGAGGCTGAGGCAGGATTGCCTGAGTCCAGGAGACTGAGGCTGTGGGAGTCGTGAACGTACCACTGCACTCCAGCTTGAGCAAAAAGAGTGAGATCCCCCAACTAAAAAAAAAAAAAAAAAAAAAAATTCCATGATACTAATGCTCCAAGAAGGACAGGCAAAAATCCTTAAAATAAATGAAAAGATATGTTCTTGGCAGAGAAATAGAATAAAAAAAGAACCAAATGGGAATTTTACAAATGAAAAATGCAGTAACAGAAATAAATTTTATAGACATCATCTAACAACAGTACACACATTCTTCACAAGCTCACATGCTACACTTACCAAGAAAGACCACAATCTAGGCCATAAACTATACTTCAACAACGTTAAAAGAACAGAATTCATATACAGTATACTCTCAAACTGCAATGAAATTAAACTTGAAATCACTGACCGAAATATTAGGTGGAAAAATCTGAAACTATCTGGAGATCAAACAACATGCTTCTCAATAACATATGTCAAAAAAGAAAGCACAAGAGAAATTTAAAATATTCTGAATAAAAATGAAAAATAGAACAACAAAATTTGTGACAGGCAGTGAAAGCAAGGATTAGGGGATACTTACAGTCCTAACGCAAAAATTTTAAAGCTCTAAAATCAATAATCTAAACATACACCTTAGGAAACTAGGGAAAGAAATGCAAAATAAATCACAGCAATAGGAAGAAATAATAAAACAATCAGAAATCAATAATACAAGAGATCAAATCCAGCAATATTTAAAAAGAATTAGACACCACAACCAAGTGAGATTTATTCCAGGGATGCAAGGTTGGTTCACCATGTGAAAATGCATTACAGGCCAGAAATCATGGGTCATCCTGTGATCCCAGCTTAATAAGGTATTACCAGGAAATAAATAAACTAATAAATTAATAATATGTACATATATAAACACACATAAATTTGACACCAATTCTTTAACAGTCATAAATTATTAAAACTCATTCAAGAAGAAGATGACTTGAACAGTCTTGTATTTGTTGTATTTTTAGAATCTTAAGAAAACTCTAGACATCGATGGTTTCAATTGGTAAAAAATTACCCAAACATTTAAAGGAGAAATGGCACCAATTTGATACCCTCTCTTCCAGAAAATAACGGGACATATGGAAATATGTCCCAATTTTTTTCACGATACCAGCATGACCTTTTTTTAAATAAAGAGACAGGGTCTCATCACACATTATACCCTCAAACTCCTAGGCTCAAGCGATCGTCCTACTAAGCCTTCTGAGTAGCTGGGACTATAAACGCATACCACTGTGCCTGACCAGCATTATTCTTATATGGAAGCCAAAACCAATATCAGAAAACTAAATGATTAACATCACTGATGAATATAAATCCAGAAATATAATAAAATTTACACAAACTGAATTCAACCACATATAAAAATTACAGTATACATGACCAAGTGAAGTTTATAGCAGGAATGCAAAGTAAGTTTTTTGAACATTTGAAAATTCACAGATTAAATTTAAAAAACCACATGACTACATCAATAGTGTAAAAAAATTTCACAAAATTCAACAGCCATACAAGGTAAAAACTCTAAACCACTTTGGGTGACAATGATGTGTCACTGTAGGTTCATCAACTGTAACAAATGTATAAAGATTCATCTTTGGCCAGGTACAGTGGCTCGCAGCTGTAATCCCAGCACTTTGGGATACTAAGGCGAGAGGACTGCCTGAGCCCATGGGTTCGAGATCAGCCTAGGCAACATGGTGAGACCTCATCTCTACAATAAATCAAAAAACCAGGCAGGCATGGTAGTGCATGCCTGTAGTTCCAGCTACTTGTAAGGCTGAAGCAGAAGGATCAACTGCACCCAGCAAGTCAAGGCTGCAGTAACCATGAGCGTGTCACTGCACTCCAACCTGGGCAACAGAGTGAGACTCCAACCCAAAAAAAAAAAAAGATTAAACTTTCCATAGAAATTTTAGAGTTAGCTTGTCTGTACCTGCAAAAAATCCTGGTAGGGTTATGATTGGTACTGTGCTAAACCTATAGATCAATTTTAGAAAAACTGATACTCTATTTTGAGTGCTCCAATCCATGAACACTAGCCTCCTGATTTATTTAGTCTTCTTTTATTTCATCAATGTCTTGTAGTTTTTAGCACACACAGCCTACACATACTGTATAGAACAAAATTCCTCCTCCCCTGGTCATAGCTGATCGGTAGATCCCTAAAGCCATCTATCTGCTAGCCATGACTTATTATCACTACTTGGTAAGAACCTCGGAATGTTTACTGCACCGACAAAGGCACCACAACCAACAGGAAAACAACAGAGAACCTCTTACTTGAGCTTCCTGAACTTTTTGAAGCTCTGACTGAAAGTCTTCTCCATTTCCATTGTCTTCATCAGTATCACTGCAGACTCCACAAAAAAATGTAGGCGGCAGTTTTAACGTATCTGCTTTTGCCTTCTCTTCATCTGTTGGCTTCTTTTCCCAAACAATAACACATTCTTTCTCATGATCTGAAAAGTCCACACAACACAAGCAAAAGAAAAGATGAAATCCAACTACTTTCCACGGAGGACTTGTAATCTACAGACTCAGGTAACGAGACCCGTGGAATGTTAATGGAGAACAAGGACCACCAAGATAATCTTTTTCACCCAAAATATCTTAAATATTTTAAATCATCATAAACATATTACATAAGTAAAATAAATACTTACAAAAGTGATCAAACTAGGTTGCTCCTTGTAAACGGAAGATTTGTTCAAAACACTACAGTCATTTTAACATACCTGCCAGATTTTCTTCCACTGGCCTACATTTTTCTGAGTCATCCAGATACAGCTTTCCATTAAGTTTCTTCACAGCTGTTTCGAAATCTTCATCTTAAAATACAATTGGTTAAAAGAAGTTCTAGTTAAGTTTCAGGAGTTTTCCTAGTAGACACCTAGAGATTAACTCAAATTTCTTCCTTTCCCTCACACTTGACATTCAAATTCCAGCCAATTTTGCTAATTCTATATCCTTAATACTTCTTGTTAGAATGTTAGCTCAGACTCTCCTCTTGAGCTGCTCTATCATTTTAGTTCATCTTCCAAGCTCCCTGTCCCATAGCCCAATCCTCCACACCACTGCCCAACAGCTTCTTCTGAGACTTTTCTGAGCATGCACAGAATTGCCAAGTTTTAAAACTCTACTGTGACACACAGTTTCCCATCACGGAAACCTTGCCTGCCTCATCTCTCTCCAACACCTCTAAGTCTCTAAGAAAAGTATGATTAAATTCCTTCCCAACACCTGACTGACACACAAGCCATCCAGAAAATGCTTGCTTATACTGCAGTTCTTCTGATCATTCTATCCACTGACTATACCTGCATTCAGGGTAAAAATCTACCTGCAAGGATATCAGTAATAAGTCTTAAGAGGCAGGCTTAAAATAAGTAAACCATCTCCCAATTCTACTAAGATTAGTAGGAACAGAGTGTTTTTTAAATGCCAAAAGACTTACCATCCTCCTCTTCTTCACTAATGTAATCTGGTCTATTCTTATAGCAGAAGAAAGTTGGAGGAAGTTGAAGTTTGTTTGCAAGGGCTTTTTGCTCAGCAGTTGGAGTTCGTTCATATACAATGAGAACATCGTCATCTGAGGGAGAATGTTCAGGTTTATTCTTTTCTTTTGCTATAACACAAGTCAAAAAAAATTGGTAAAGGCAAGGTAGTAAGTACTGAAATTAATTTTCTTTTCTTTTCTTTTTTTTTTTTTTTTGAGTTGGAGTCTCACTCTGTTGCCCAGGCTGGAGTGCAGTGGCACACTCACAACCACCCCAGCGTTGACCCACTGGGCTCCTGCAACTCCGCCTCAGCCTTCCAAGTAGCCAGAACTACAGGCGCATGCTACCACTCCCGGCCAATTTTCTACTTATTGTAGAGACGAGGTCTCACTAAGTTTCCCGGGTTGGTCTCGAACTTGTGGGCTCAGGCAATCCACTTGCCTCAGCCTCCCAAAGTGCTGGGATTACAGGCTGAGCCACCGAGCCCAGCTGAAATTAATTTTCTAACTAAATACAAAAACTATGAAACTTATCCATGGGTTAAAACAGAATACTGATTTAAAAAAAAAAATTATACATACTTTGATGCAGACACAGCTCTATAATAAACATAAATTAGAATTAACAAACTGACTTAGTGACCCATGAAAAATCCTTAGTAATCACAGAATCTACTTATAACCAAAAAAAAAAAAAAAAAAAATGCGGTTACTTACTTGGCACTCAAAAGAATTCTACTAATTTCTATAATTTAAAAAGGTGTTTTAAAGTGCTACCATAATCATATTTGGCATAGCAAATTACACTTTATCAAAATATCCATGCATTTGCAAAAACTGAAAAAAAATCTTAAAGTATCAGCAAACATTAGTAGATATATGAAACTAATCCAAAGCCAACCTTAATTAGTTCCTATAAAAAAAGTTAACAATTGCCAAGAATGGTAGGTGATTAGAATTGCATCCAGTTTTCCCTATTTCCAAGCACGATCCTAGATACAATTAAATAAGAACTGCTATGCTATGGATAAATAATACTGTAAAATCTTAGACAATTTCTATGGCTAAGAAACCCTGCCAATGAAAAAGGCAAAAATTTAGGAGAAAGGAATTTCATATGTAAGTTGATCTGGTTTATTTTTATTTTTTATTTTTTTTGAGTTGGAGTCTCACTCTGTCACCCAGACTGGAGTGCAGTGGCCGCTTCTGGCCACCGCAGCCTCAACCTGCTGGGCTCCAGCGATCCTTCCACCTCAGCCTTTCAAGTGACTGGAACTATAGACGCGTGCTACCACGCCCAGCTAATTTTTTATTTATTGTAGAGATGAAATCTCGCCAAGTTGCCCTGGCAGGTCTCGAACCCGCGAGCTCAGGCAATCCATTCACCTCAGCCTCCCAAGATGCGGGATTACAGGCTGAGCCACGGAGCCCGGCTTGATCTGGTTTATAAAAAATAATTTCTGGCTAAAGGAATTAATAAAGTAAGCCAGTCACAAAGCATGCCATGTCCCAGTGGTGCTACGGAAACCTTTTCTAGTGCTATGCTGTCCAATATGGTAGCCTAACCACATTTGGCTATTAAAACTTTGAAAGGTGGCTACTCTATCGATGGCCCTACCACCCTGAACGTGCCCAATCTCATCTGAAAGGTGGCTAGTTTAAATTGAGATGTACTTTTAAGTGTAAATGTACATAATGGATTTTGAAGACTTGATATGAAAAAAATGTAAAATATCATATTATTTATATTGGTTAAAAGTTAAAATTATTCTTTGGACATAACAGGTAAATCAAATATATTCTTAAAATCAACTTCATCTGTTTCCCTCTCTTCCACCTTTTTCTTTTCACTTTTTAAATATGGCTAACAGAAAATTTTATTTTCTTAGAGACAGGGTCTTGCTCTGTCACCCAGAAACACAGGCACAGGCAATCCTCCCTGACAGCCAGGGCTGCCGGTGCATGCCGCTGTGCCTGGCTACTTGCATGTGTGCATGTGTGGGACGTGTGCAGACCCGCTCACGCAGGCGGGTCTCCACTCCTGGCCTCAAGCGGCCCTCCTGCTTCAGCCACCCCAGCAGTTCAGACTGGGGACAGGAGCCGCCACGCCCAGCTGAAAACTTCAAATTACACATAAGGGCCCTATTCTATTTCTACTGGATAACACTGCTCTAGAGAACAAGACTCCTTCCTTACACACTTGCCCCCTCCATTTTCCTCATGTCTAACGTCTTCATTTCTAAGGTCCTCTGGGACTATGATATTATCAGATTAAAGATTGGAAATGAAACAAGAACAAGGCTCTGTGTTCTACAGCAGTATATCGGTAAATCTGCTTAGGCTAGAGATTCTTCACCTAGAGCCCAGACACTGTGTACATGTATACTCCACTTTTCTATAAAGTCTACACTTTTCAAATTTCTCAAAGACTGTCATCTTTAATAATAAAAGATTAAAAAACCCGAAATCCAAGGACTGTCACTTAACCACTGTACTTGTCTGGCACTCTCAAAATGTGTTACTGGATACTAATGGTGAGTTTTCATTTCCAATCTTGCTCCTGAAGGTCTTTAAGAAATTCCATTTCCTACTGTTCCACTCTGGTAGCAACACTTACTTCTACAAATAATCTGTGCTACATATATGACAGATAAGCAACAGAACAGTGGCTGTTAAAAATGGGGTCTACTTCCAAATACAACATTTTTCTAAACTATGTACAAAAAACATAGCCCTAAAGGGACACTTTGTTCCATATCATATACATGCTGCTGCTACTACTACGTTTGACTACTGGCAGACACTAATGGCTAAAGATAAGGGTTAGATAAAACATAGGTCTTCACTAAGCAGAGCTGAACTAACAGAGCAACTCAGCAAAAAATAATAAAGTGCAATAATGAGAAAACATGACTTCTGAGCACATTTAAAAAAAAAAAGCATTAAAGGGTGTCATGCCACCAAAAAGTACTTTGCTTAAACTGGCATTCTTTTAACATGCAGGTTGTAGTGTTAAGTACTTAATTTCATACAGCCACAGCTACTTTGCTAAGGACCACCAGCTGCTGAAAACTGCTATCATCTCATACTGAGAATGCTAGCTCTATACCTTTGCTCTCAGGCTGTGAGGAAGGGGTGCTGGTCCAAAAGGCCATGGGATTAGATTTAAAAAGGCTAAAGTTAAATCCTAAAAAATAAAGAATATTTCATTTTTAAACATGTTAGGAAAGAAAATGAGTATTATTTTTAAAAGGCAGAATTCCTCAATATATATCAATTTGGTTGTCTTATGTATTCATATATCCCTGCGGTTTCATTCTTTGCTCATTTAGTAAGTGATGGTAAAATTCATATATAAAACTGTAACATCCCAATACCATGTTCTTTAACTGACAAAATAATAAACTGAATGATGAAAACGAATACTTAAAAAAACAGCTATGTTGATGCATGATTCATGTTCATGAGTCCTTAAACTGTCTGAGTTACTTTGGTCTGACCGACCGTGATATAAATATATTCCAATTATTGAAGACTTTTAAATAGCTTACAATCTCTATTGCTGCTGAAAACTCATTTAGAAAGGAAAACTGCTCAAATATTTTTAGTCTTATTCAATTTTGTTTTATTATAGAAATGCAGGGTACAGGTGAGGATTCACTACATAAGTAGGCTGCATGCAGGTAAAGTTTGGGCTTCTAACTGGCCCTCACTCCCCCAAAAATACTTTTTGAGTATTCACAAGCAGTACTTCTTTGTAAAAATTTTGACTAAAACATTAGTATCCTACAAAAAGTCTGCATCAAGAGAAACAGTAAAAGAAAAAAAATTTTTCCTTAAAGACTAAGCACTTACCCTTGTCTGCTGTTGTAAAAGTGTGATTAATTGAAGACTCTTCCGTTGGCAGGGAAGCAAAGAGATTTTTGACTTTGCCATCCGGAGGTGGTCTGATATCAGAGCTCTTTGACAGTTCATATTCGTCAGGTTCCACTTTTCCTTCAGATTCACTCTGGACTACTGAACTAGTTTCATTATCGTTACTTTTCAAAGGTGCATTAAAACTAAATCCAAACAAAGACCCAGTGGCTGAACTGTTGCCAAATGCAAATGGTTTCGATTTCTCACTACTAAAAATGCTTTTAACAGACTCTGAACCAAATACAAACTTTGGAGGAGAAACCACTGCTTTTGTTGCTGTTTCAGATGTGCTAGACACTTCTCCAACTTCTGAAGTTGTATCTGCTACATCATCACTCTGAATTAAATCTGTCCTCTCTCTTGTGGTTTCCTCCAGTACAGCCACTGCAATTTTGCCACATGGTGACTCTCTGGGAGTGCTTGAACGAGAAACATGAGGTGTTATCAGAGAATCTCTCTCTTGGGCTGTTTTTGCTTCATCAAAAATTTTTTTAAACGAGTCTGCAACATCCTGTAGTTTAAAACGAACAGCTAAATGTTCTACTTTTCTTTCTCCATCTGCAAAATCACATGCAGTCCACACCCACACTCTTTCTGTTCCTTTCATATTTTGCAAAGTCATGTCTGGAGTTATTCTGTGATTGGCACAGAGTTTTAATACCTGGTCCCTTCTCATCACTATACGAACTTGCTTATTATCGTAATTCTGCAAAATCTTTATATCGCCAATGCCCCTTTCTTTCCATTGACCAACATCTTTATCATATCTGTAGAGTTTTGCCCTATGACTAAAAACAACTTGTTCATTTTCCTCACCACTGGATACTTCAACCAGATCGGGTAAAGGTACAACAGGTTCAAAGTACTGTCCATCTCTCTCTTCCTCTTGTGTAACATCAGACTCTTCATCAGTACCAACTGAAGTCCCACTCTGATTCAACTTGGTGGGAGACTTAGACGGACTCAGAGCAGATTTAAAACTGAAATTAAATCCTGTTGTTGACTCACCAAAGCGAAAGAGATTTTTTCTCACGGGGCTGCTTGCCAGTGGAGAAGCATGTACTGAGCTGCTACTAACACTACTTTCCAAAGCATCTTCCCTTAAGTCATAGCTGTCCCATTCCAACTTGGACCCAGTGTTTTCGGGATTTGGCTTGACTGTTGTGTCTGAAGCACTGGCCGCACCTGTACCTGAATTCTGAGTCTCTTCCTCAGTGACTTTTGTTTGATCATTTGTCAAAAATGTTTTGAAGTCTTTCAGCCCACTCTTCATCTCTTCAGCTCTCTGTATTAACTTGGCAGCTCTGCCAGTATCCACAAGCTTATGAGGAGTTTGAAGAGGTATATCTAACAGAAGCCGCTGACATTCCTCAAATTTCTGCTTGAATTCTTCAGCCAGCTCTGGTGTTTTAAATTTTGCTGCCAGCTGCTCTAGTTTGGCATCGCCATCAGAGAAATCACTAGCTAACCACATCCATGCTCTGTCTGATCCAGAGAGAGGCTTCAGGTTCATCGTAGTTGTTATCCAATGATTAGCACACACTTTTAGTACTTGTTCTCTTCGCATCAGCATTCTTAATTTGCCGTTGACCTCATTTTTGAGAATTTTCAAATTCCCCAAGCCCCGTTCTTTCCATTGACTTATCTCAGCATCAAATCTAAATAATTTTACCCGCTGCGAATACAGCACCTTTTCATCTTCTTCTCCTGTTACAAGCTCTACTTTTTCAGGCATCTGAACTACTGGTTCAAAATGGATGTCATCGCTGTCCTCAGTCTTGTAGGCATCATCATCTTTCTCAAAGTCAGCCGAAGTGTTGGCTTTATCAGCCACTTTGGCACTTTGTGATGAGAACAATTTTTCTCCAGCACCTGAAAACCCCTTGAAATGAGGATCTTTTTTGCCAAACTGAAATCCTTCTCCTGAAGTTGATTTTGCAAGGTCTGCAAATGTAAAAGTGCTACTTGTCTGACCAAAAATCACACCACTACCATTCTTCTGACTACTAGCATCCTGAGCCTGGAAACCAGTGTCATTTTCAGAGTGCTGTCCACTCTTCTTTTCTTGATTTCCTGGTTCCTGAATACCAAATTTAAATCCATCAGCAGACACAGGGAAGGAAAATCTGTCTTTTGTGGACTTTGATTCTGTATTAGAAGAACTCTGAAATGTAAATGAAGGTGTATTTTCTTGATCCACATGCCCAAACTTAAATCCTTGCTCTGTAATGCCAAAGGTAAAAGCTTTTTCTGAAAAGTTACTTTTAAATCCTGTTCCCACCTGACTTCCAGAAGAGTCATTTAACTTCATCTTTGAGCCCAATGTGAACGCTGAAGGTGCATCTGCAATAGGCTTATGAGTGGGTTTAGAGGCAGAACAAGCCACACATTTTAAGGAAGAACTCTCATTTTGTACAAAGCAAACACTACAGTCCCATTGTCCTTCCTTCTTGGCAAACATTCCCTCAAACCCACTCTTGGGAGTCTTGCTTGTCTCTGAAGAGGCAGGTGTTGGAACAGCAGAAGTAGGTTCGTTCTGTTTACTTGGATTCTGACAGGCAATACATCTGGTAGCGCTGGCTTCATTTCTTTCCAAGCACACACTGCAATCCCACTGTCCTTCCCCCTTGGTGAACATTCCCTCAAACCCACTCTTGGGAGCCCTGCTTGTCTCTGAAGTACCAAACTTGAAAGAGGTAGGGGCTGGAACAGCACAAGTAGATGGACTTGGTTTAGCTGGATTCTGACAAGCCACACATTTTGTAGCGCTGGCTTCGTTTCGCACTAAGCATGAGCTGCAGTCCCACTGCCCTTCCTTTCTAGCAAACATGTCCCCAAATCCACTCTTCGGAGTTTTACTCATCTCTGAAGTACCAAACTTAAAAGAGGCAGGTGCCGGAACAGAAGTAGTAGGCAGACTCTGTTTTCTCGGATTCTGACAAGCAGCACACTTTGTAGCACTGGCCTCATTTTGTAATGAGCATACACCACAATCCCACTGTCCTTCCTTTGTAGGAAAAACAGATCTAAAATCACTGTTAACAGATTTAGGAAGATCTCCCTGGCCAAGTTTAAAGGAAGCTTGATGTACAAATGACGATCCACTTTTGTTAGCAGATTTTGTATTCTGGCACGCAATGCATCTAGATACAGCAGGTTCATTTCTTACTAAACAGACACTACAATCCCAGTGACCTTCTTTCTTTGGAGTCATCAATGCAAATCGGTCTTGAACATTTTCTGGGCCAGTTTTAGGAACAAAAACAGTCTCAACTAGTGGTGGGCCAACGAGTTCTTTACTGCTTGGGTTTAGATTTTGGCATGACACGCATTTCTTAACAGTTGCAGCATTCTTTAAGGAGCAGCTATTACAATGCCACCAAGACCCTTCTTTCTTTGCAACTTGAAATTCAAAATTCACATTTCCGGCATCAGATTTGCAAATATCCTTGTTGTCATGACTCGTGGGTTCTTTTACAATTCTGATACTCTGATTTGGTGCTGTGGCTATATTTGTGGCTGAGGTTTTTAAAATGCTCTGAGCCTCCTCAAACTTGCACTTAAAAAGTGTTGCTTCCTCAGGAGTTTTGAACCTAATAGCAAGTTGTTCTGGTTTTGGCAATTCGTCTGCATAGTCAAGGGCATGCCATACAAAAGACCTGTCTGATCCAGCATTTGGTGTCAGCTTCATGTCAGGGCTGATGTAATGATTCGCACAAATTTTTAACACTTGCTCCCGTCTCATGAGAAGGCGAATTTTGCCAGACGTCTTGTGCCTTAGTATTTTCACGTTGCCAATGCCGCGTTCCTTCCACTCTTTGGATTCTCCATCAAAACGGAACAACTTGGCCCGGTTGCAGAAGAGCCCTTCTTCGTCCTCCTCGCCCGTTTTCACCTCGATCTTATCCGGAAGAGGCACCACAGGCTCGAAGTGCGGGCCGTCATCGTCATCCTCCCCACGGGCCCCTCCGCCGTCGGCTTCGTGACGCTCGGTTGCCAGCTCAGGAGCCGGTGCTCCAAGCAGTGACCTCCCTGGACCATGGAAAGTAAATGCTTCATCATTGCGACGAAAGCCAGAATTCCTTTGGTGGTTTGGCCCCACATTTTCCGTAAGTGAAACCCCAGACACATTTTTGCTTCCAAAATTGAATGCGTTTCGAGGCCCAATGGTTGGACCAGAAACTGGTTTGGGGCCACCGTAGCCATCTCCTTGCAAAGGCTTATCTGAAGTCAAGAGACCTAAGAGGCTTTCGCTGTTACTGAAGGCAGTAGAAGGGGGCTGCGTCACAGCCTGTGGTGATGAAAATGTGAAGTCGCCATCATTTGATTTGAAATTCGAGTTAAATTTAAAAGGAGCTGACTGTGTTGTATGCGCTGGTGCTGTTAAAGATGGCCTTATTCCATCACCCGGTTGAACAAAATTCGCTTTCCCAAATTCTATCACCTTAGATTCTCCAGATCTGGAAGCGTGAGCTGCAACTGAAGGTTTTGTGAAATATCCTGGTTCTGGCAAAGGTGGATTTGTGCTTGTCTGCTGAGCATTGTAACTGAAGTAGTCATCACCCCTGGGTGATAGAATTCCTGTTGCAGGAGACTCGAAACGCAGCGCATGAGGGCCATACATCTCCTGAGAGAACATACAAGCAGATGAGCTTTGCACTGGTGGTGTGTGCATCTGTTGGGGATAGGCGTAAATATGCTGCTGGGGTGGAAGTCTATTCATGCCATAAACTGGACCCTACAAGGAAAAAAGTTAAAATATTTTGTAGACGTTCCACAAAACCAGGGATAACTAGATACAAATGACTTCACACAAACTTAAAATGTGAATATTAGGTGAAGAAGGTATCATGAGGGTGTGTGGCACATCCTTAAAAGAAGGCACCATTACCACAAGAATACGTACGCATATACTTGGCAGATAATAAAAGTTAACTAATTTAACTAATCACAGCATCTTAAAATCTATTTCCACAATAAATTCACGGAATAAATGGCTTCTTCATTCCTAAACAATTCATCAAATCATGTTAACAATAATGATGATGGTGAAGACTAACATTTATTGTGCATTTATGAATGTGCCAACTGGACACTGTTCTAAGCACTTTGCGTAAGTTATCTCATTTTAATAACCTCAAAAGCCATATGAACTCAGGTTATATTATTATCCTCATTTTACATATGAGGCAACTGATGCATTGAGAAGTTAAGAAACTTGCTGTGGTTACAATAAATGGAAGAGCAAGGGTACAAATGCATCCTGACTCTCTGTCTGCCAAAGCTTCCCATTCACCTACCACTGAAATACGGGGCCTTAACAGTATAATCTCATCAGACCTAAAAGTACTTGCCACACAGTGGTTCAGCAAGGACATTCTAGCATTATTTTTGTCAAAACAAAACTAAGAAGGACCCAACACCACCACCATTTGCATTTTGAAAATATTCACACTTATTGTAACAAAAATAGTGACTAAGAAGTATAACTTCTGTATCTGGAGAGAAATTTACAATAGCTATCTCAAGGGACATATAAGTTTTAATACTGAACTACTCTATTAAATTTCTTTGAAGGAAGCCTAAACAATTCAAAAGGAGATAGTTAGAAATGTATAAATTATTCCTTTGTTACCTTTGTGGGAGTAACATTAGCTGCTGGTCTGAGAAGATACTGGGAATTATATGCTGGTGACTGACTATAATATACTGAAGGGCCAGTAGTTGCAACTAAAAAAAAAAAAAAAGAAAAAAAAGAAAACAATGTTAAAATCTATACTACAGTTAAGACTATCTAGGTAAGAAATATAAATACAAAAGCAATATAAATCAAAGAAAGATTTAACTACTTAACTACGTATATTTTAAATTTCTGTACATCAAAAAACACCAATCAAGGAGATTTGACAAACCACAAAAAACTGCTAAATATAACAGAAGGAATAAGCAAGTAGCACTGCTATAATCAACAAAACAAGCATCAAAAAAAGGAATCAAGAATAAAGTAGCTGGTCCACTTTCTAAGAAAGATCAGTATGATGTCAAACACAGGCATTGAGTCACAGAAAGAACTTAAGGAACCAAACTGCATCTAATGGCCTCAGGGCCATATTTTTGAAATGAGCCTTAAAAATTGGCAGAATGCCACAGTTGCATTTTGTAAACTGAAACTACTACTGAGAATGTTCTAGTCAAAAATCACCTGACAGGTTCATGGAAAGGATCTCACAAGTAACATAAAACGTGTTCCTTGGCTTAAAACAAAAACATTCACGCTGATGTACAAACTACCTACTCCATCTGTTTTGTGTGGGTTTTATTAGGAAACCAAGCAACTAGAAGGCACTCATGTTGATGGCAAAACTACCAACAGCCGTTTGCTTCAACTGGTTTATGACAGTTTTACCAGAAAACAAAACAACCAAGAGATCTTTCCTGCCTATTCATGGAAGAAATGGAAACTGTGACCCAAGAGGTTCCACACAATTGACTCTGGAAAGCACTGAAAAAAGACCTAGCAAAGGCTAGCCAGAAGTTCAACTTTGAATCTGAAAAACTAATGAAACTGCCTGGTGAAGATCCCTGTTTTTTGATTACTATGATGAGGAAGCAGGCACAGAACACACAACAAGCTGATAGGCATGAGCCACAGACATGAGCCAAGAATCTTAAGGTCTGAAGATTAACTAGAAACTTTATCACTGACTACTGATTCTTTTTGTTTTTTTTTTTTGAGTCGGAGTCTCGCTCTGTTGCCCAGACTGGAGTGCAGCGGCCACTCTCGGCCACCGCAGCCTCGACCCGCTGGGCTCCGGCGATCCTTCCACCTCAGCCTTCCGAGTAGCCGGAACTACAGGCAGGCGCTACCATGCCCGGCTGATTTTTGACATACAGTAGAGATGAGGTCTCGCAAAGTTGCCCAGGCAGGTCTCGAACCCGCGGGCTCAGGCAATCCACTCACCTCAGCCTCCTGCGGGATTACAGCCTGCGGGATTACAGGCTGAGCCACCAAGCCCGGCTTACTGATTCTTAACAGTGAGGGAAAAGGAAAAAAAACAACAAAACTACAGAGCTTTTATAAATCTACTAAAAGTATCAAATTAAAAAAGCACAACACAGATAGAGGCGGCCTCAAGGGCATGTTTTTAAAGTGAGGCCTGAAAATCTTCAGAATGATGAGGCTGCATTTTGCAAACTCAAGCAATTACTGAAAATATTCAGGTCAAAAGTCACCTGACAAATTCATGGAAAGAATCTCACAAGAAACCCAATTATGTTCTTTGGCTTTTAAACAAAAAGCACATCAGTACTCATGTTGATATACAAACTAGCTGCTCCATCTGTTCTGAGTGAGTTTTACCAGGAAACCAAACAACTAAAAAGCATTCACACAGATGACAAAACTACCACCAGCAATTTGCATGAACTGTTGAGCATGCTGAAGTGCTGAGCATGCCTAGTATTTAAAAACTGATACAGGCCGGGCTCCGGTGGCTCAGTCTGTAATCCCAGCACTTTGGGAGACAGAAGTAAGAGGATTGCCTGAGCCCGTGGGTTCGAGACCCGCCCGGGGAACTTGGTAAGACCGCGTCTCTACAATAAATCAAAAATTAGCCGGGCGTGGTAGCGCGCACCTGTAGTTCCGGCTACTAGGAAGGCTGAGGCGGAAGGATCGCCAGAGCCCAGCAGGTCGAGGCTGCAGTGGCCGGGAGCGTGCCACTGCCTTCCAGCCTGGGTGCCAGAGTGAAACTCCAACTCAAAAAAAAAGATACAATTTTAGTTCCTACAAGTTGGCAAAGGCTATTATAAACTATTAACAGTTAATGTCCCACGGGTTCGAGACCTGCCTGGGCAACTTGGCGAGACTTCATCTCCACAATAAAAATCAAAAATTAGCCAGGCGTGGTAGCGCGCGCCTGTAGTTCCAGCTACTTGGAAGGCTGAGGCGGAAGGATCACCAGAGCCCAGCAGGTCGAGGCTGCGGTGGCCGGGAGCGGCCACTGCACTCCAGTCCGGGTGACAGAGTGAGACTCCAACTCAAAAAAAACAAAAAACCAGTTAATGTTAGTCTGGGCGTGGTAGCTCAAGCCTGTAATCCCAGCACTTTGGCAGGTCAAGGTGAGGGTTTGCCTGAACCCATGGGTTTGAGACCAGCCTGAACAACATGGAGAAATCTCATCTCTACAATAAATCAAAAAATTAGCTGGTTGGAAGTAAGTGCCTGTAGTTCCAGCTGAGGCAGAAGGATCGCCTGGGCACAGCAGGTCACCGCTGGAGTGGCTGTGAGCGGGCCAATGCACTCCAGCCTGGGCAACAGAGTGAGACTCCAACCCAAAAATAAAAAAATATTAAAAAGTTAATGTTAGCAAAAGTGCAAAGATGACACTATCAGATACTAGTGGAAAGAGTACAAACTGAATTTTTAAAATATCCTACAAATCCTAGGATTCTGTCCTAGAATTTATAACAGCCCAAACTGGAAATAACATAAAGGAACAGAATTTGCAGTACTTCCACATGATAGGATACCATGAACTCACTAATATTCAAAGAATATTAAAAATGCTCAGGACTTCAAGTAACATTTAAAAACCAGCTGCCAGGTGAGGTGGCTCACACTTGCAATCCCAGCACTTTGGGAGGTAGAGGCAAGAGGACTGCCTGAGCCAAGGTGTTCGAGACCAGCCTGGGCAACTTGGCAAGACCGCGTCTCTACAACAAATCAAAAAATTAGCCAGGCATGGCGGCACATGCCTGTAATTGCAGCTATTTGGAAGGCTGAGGCAAGATTGCGTGAGCCCAGCAGGTTGAAGTTGTGGTGGCTATAAGCATGCCACTAAATTCCTGCCTGGGTGACAGAGTGAGACTCCAACTCAAAAAAAAAAAAAAAAAAGGTGCTACACTAGACTTTATAATTCTAATTATTTCCCTAACTAAAAGCAACTGGGGGAAAAAATTTGAACTACTAATATTTCAAGAGTCTGTCTCATGTAAAAGAAACCTATTTTTATGTCATTTCTGGATGCCTAGGGACAATGTACCATACTGGCAAGCACTTTGGGAGTTATACCACTGGAGTTTGAATTCTAGCTATCAATAACTAGCAGCATAATAATGAATAAGTTATCTAACCTGCTAAACCCATTTTCTCATTTAAAGAATTATGATTAATAATGCTACCTACCACACTGTTTCTGTGATTAAATATAATTATACTCACAAAGCACTTTTACACCTAGCCAGTCCACAGTAAGCACTATTAGTCATCTTAGTTCATTAAGTATTTACTGTATACTGGAATAAATGTCTCCTGCAAACTCACACCCACCTGCATATACACAAATGCTCATAGTAATCATGTGAGACAAGTATTATCTCCACATTTAGAGAGGTTAACTTACACAGCTGGCTAAGTAAAACAGTACAACTTAAAAACTCAATATGATCCAGGTCCAAACTCCTTTTCATTTTTTTTTTTTTGAGTTGGAGTCTCACTCTGTCGCCCAGACTGGAGTGCAGTGGCCGCTCCCAGCCACCGAAGCCTCGACCTGCTGGGCTCCGGCGATCCTTCTGCCTCAGCCTTCCAAGTAGCTGGTACTACAGGCGCACGCTAACATGCCCGGCTAATTTTTGATTTATTGTAGAGATGAGGTCTCGTCAAGTTGCCCAGGCGGGTCTCGAACCTGCGGGCTCAGGCAATCCACTCACCTCAGCCTCCCAAAGGCGTGGGATTACAGGCTGAGCCACCGAGCCCAGCTCTTTTCCTTTTATGTATAGCTGTAATAATAAATTTGATTACCCATTAATGTCCTGCCTCTCAATGTATCATCAAATTAATTTCCCAGAGGTTTAAGTTCGTAGTGTGTAACTGTATGGGTTAACATTTTTCAATCTAAAGAATAATCCCATCTCAGACTCAGTCCATCTAAGGTATGCATTAAAGGGTTCTTCAAGCCTTTATATATACAAGATCACATAAAATTTATTTTGCTTCTGGTTGGTGTTATGAAAATTCTAGGACTACAAATATAGGTGATTTCACAAATTATCTATTTAAAAGAGGGAGGTTAAAGTGGTTTTACTAAAATCTGGGATTATCTAGTTGCCAGCTCACCTGTTAGTGGCGCTCCATGAAAAGTCTGTGATCCCTGATAGCCCTCAGGCACTGAGTCTGGTCCATAATTCTCTGTAGGCCAACGGTGAGGGGATGCCGAGTTACTGCTACTTAGCTTCAATTCCTGCATTTCTTTCTATTATAAGAAAATAATTTCAAACATTTAATTGTATCATGTCAAATAGAGTACTAGAGCAAAATTAATATCTTAAATTTAAGTAACCGATGATATCTTTTAGTTAAGAGATTCTGTTTTCCAATGAGATCTGGGAATCAGGTGCTGATTTAAAAACATGATTATTTATTTATTAAAATTTCTCTCCTCCCATGTTCATTCTTTAGTTCCACCTACGTATCACCAACCTAATTCAACTAAACAAGCGAATAACCAGCCGGGCTCAATGGCTCAGCCTGTAACCCCATGCCTTGGGAGGCTAAGGTGAGTGGATTGCCTGAGCCCGCAGGTTCGAGACCCGTCTGGGCAACTTGGTGAGACCTCATCTCTACAATAAATAAATTAAAAAAATTAGCCGGGTGTGGTAGTGCATGCCTGTAATTCTGGCTACTTGGAAGGCTGAGGCGGAAAGATCGCTGGAGCCCAGCAGGTCGAGGCTGCGGTGGCCGGGAGCGGCCACTGCACTCCAGTCTGGGCAACAGAGTGAGACTCCAACCCAAAAAAAAAAAAAACTGGTGAAATTAACTGGAACACTTTACTGGTTAGTACTGGTGTCTGGACCATAGTTTTGAACTTGCAATCAGTGCTGTAATCAATAATTTTCAAAATTAAAAGTTTTAAAAACAGTGATGAGAACTGGTTTCAACAATTCTCTCAATTTACAGATGAGAAACCAAACAGGTACAAAAGTAAGGAAGTTAACTGGCCCAAGATCATTCACTAGTGGTAGAGTTGGTGCCATCAGCTTCTCAGGCTCATGAACTAGTGCTCTCTAAATCCAATGAATACAATGTTGAGTGTCTGAAACCCATATGTTAAATCAAAATTGTATGTAATATCCTAGGTCACGACCACACTAAATGAATACTTAAAATCTTTGTGCAGGCCATGTGTGGTAGCTCACGCCTATAATCCCAGCACTTTGGGAGGCCAAGGTGAAAGGATTGCCTGAACACACAAGTTTGAGACTGGTTTGGGCAACCTGGCAAGACCTCATCTCTACAATAAAAAAAGTAGCTGGGCATGGTGGTGCATGTCTATAGTTCCAGTTACTTGGAAGACGGAGGTGGATCACCTGAGCACAAGAGATTGAGGATACAGTGGCCATGAGTGTGCCACTGCACTCCAGCCTGAGTGACAGAGTGAGACTCCAACTCACAAAAAAAAA